TAATGTTTTATGAGGACTTGACCAATGGAACCACTCTTCTAACTCGTCTAGGGAAAAAAATCCTCATTACAAACACCAGGGGCCAGGAACATCAAGTTCCCACTGCTGATCAGGTACCTCTGTAATAAAATTTTCCATCTTAATGCTTTTCCTCCTCCTATGCTATACGCTGTAATCAAGGGACACACTGATCTGGAGGGCATTTTGATAAGATTTTGATGAGGTTGGAGTGGGCAGCTATGAGAGACTGAGTTCAGAAGGCTCTTTCCTATCCAGAGACTGTAGGATAGCAGCTGGCAAACTGCAAATTTACAAGCTTGCAAATGGACATCTCTTACCTGCAAAACTTAAAGGGAGCTCTTGAAGTGGCTTTCAGTAGAAAAATGGGGATATGGGCTTCATTTAACTCTTCTCTCAGCTTGGTAGGATTATGGGGGTAGCTGTGTGATAGGTGAAAAGATGAAAGCAGCAGCTAATCATTTAAAAAAGATGTTTGCACTTGTAAAGTTTCTTGGTAACTTTCTGGGAGAGGCAGAAGACACCAACAGAGCCTTGCTCACAGCAAGCAAACTCCAGCCACAAACTCGAGTGGAAGTGCCAAGTGGCATCTTCCACAGTGAAAGTGGCTGCCTGGCACTCAGGAATGACTGCACTTCTAGGCAGAGCTTGGCAACTTCACAAATATCACAAAAGCCTTCAGTTAGAGAGAAAAAAAAGGACACAGCAACATGAAGGCAACAGGCAGGTAATGATGATGGCTATTTCATGCACAGAAGAACCATGACCAGCCAGGGGTTATCCCCTGCTGATGTCCAGGAAGGCAGCAGTGTAACTTTCCATGTTTTTTTTCCATGTTTTTTCTCTTTGGGTGTCAGCAACTGAGGTGGGAAAACCATCTTAATGCAAATCTCAGTACCAAATGGAGAAGGGTCAAAGCTCAGCTCTCATTCCTTCTTTTCCTGGGCAGAGCGAGATCCGATATGTGGACAGAAGTGCTATTGTTGAGTGGGATATAATTGCTTCCAACGGGATAATCCACATAATTTCAGAGCCTTTAAAGGCTCCATCAGAACCTGTAAGTACAACAATTCAGGTTTTGGGGTGGTGAGAGGTAACTGTATTTTATTTTACCCTAAACCAATTGCTGACACTCGTATATTCCCAGTATGCCTGACATATATGCAGCTTTCAGCTTAAAAGGTTACTTTCAAAGAGAATTAGAAGTTGAAAACAAGGTACCAGTGACACCAAAAATTTGTCTGAACAACTTCTTCCCACAGTTATAATTTTTTTTCTTTATATAAAATAATGGAAGTCATGTATGTAATTGAGAATTTCAAATGCTCCAGCTGCTAAGGCACCTCATTTACTCTTGCCTTGGCATTCATTCCTATCCAAAACAACAAGGTGTTTTGAAAATAGGTATCTTTTGCCTGCATGAACTCCTGCAAAACTCCCAATTATCCAGCTGTCTCGTTGGTCCCCAAGGTTTAGTGATGGACTTGGCAGTGCTGGGTGAACAGTTGGACTCTATCATCTATTTCAATATAAACAGTTCTGTGATCATGTCAAAAGGCCACATTTAAGTGTCTCTAGGAAACACCTACCAGGAAACCCAAGCACAAGAACAGCTCAGGACCAGACCATATCTCAAAGGGACACTGCCTGTGCTTGAGTGCTGTAAGCTGACCAGCGCCCACCCATAACTCATCCTCTCCCTTGCTTCCAGGCTCCTCTCCATGCCACTACTGGGACAGGAATATTCTTTGGCATCTGTCTAGTTACTGGAATTGTGGCTCTCATTGGGTATTCTTACCTCAGGTTTAGGAAGAAAAACATAGGCTTCCAGCACTTCAAGGTAGGTGGGAACACGAAGCTGGGGGGGAGCAACTGCACTTCTCAAATTCACAGCTTTCAGTTTCTCCATACATTTAGTTAAGCTAGAAACATTCCTGATCACTTCACACTTGAGCTGTTCAGACTGACAGAGAAAGTGGAGAAGGCTCACAAGCTTCACTTGGGCATGAGCTTACATTTGCCTCCAGACCTCTCCACCCAAGTGTCTGCTCACACAGACACTTCCAACACTGAGGACTGGCCCAAAGCTGATTTAACTACACCACAGCAGTGCAGAAGTCCTTGTCTCCCCAGAAAGCTCACCCTTAGGGAATCAAAGAATCACAGCCACTGAAAGGATACCTGTTCTCCTCCTCCATTACTATTAATTTTGATGTTCTGGAGGTTGAAATATTTCATAAGAAAAAGGCCAGATCCAACAGACAAACAAATTGAAATGCCTGTAGGATTGAAAAGGGCAGGTGTTTATACTGATGCACTTTCATGCTTGATTTCTCTTTACTAATTTTGCTAGCAACACATAGATGCAAAACACGTCAGCAACAGCTGAGCTAGAGACATGAGGGATGAGGAAAAAAAATGTTACAAAATACACAAGAAATACACAAGAACAAACCAGAAAGTCTACCTAGGTGAACAGAAATCCCTTCCTGCTTTAGTCTCTGCATGTAATGAGAATCATCTTGTAGAAAGAAAAGCCAGTAGCCAAGAGCCAGAGAAAACACTTCTATTTTTAAATAATTTCAATGAGAGCCCTCAGAACTAACTAGGTACTTTTTACCCCAACCATCATTTCAGGGCCACACCTCCTCTCCCATTCTTTGCTGAGGCTTAAAAATAAGAAGGGAGTGGAAAAGAGATACCAGTGTTAAGTCACCTGAGATAAAACAACAACCAAAGTCACAGTCCATGCCCAGAGACAGATTTAGATAATATAGCCAGTTGAATCACAACACTGCACCAGCTGGTAGGGAAGCTCAAGTGTCCCATTTAATGCACTGTGGGAAGAGGATGAAATTTAAACAAGTTTGTGTGCTTTCATGTAGTCAAAAGATGACACTGACACAACGCCACTGGACAAGTCACAGCCTTCAAATATCACCAACCCCTCATATGAAAGTTCTTCAACAGAACCTACTTACGATCTTTTCTCAGTAAGTGTTCCTCTTGATTTGAGACTACTGATATATAATGGTAAGAGGGAATGACTTTATGATATAAAGAAAAGTGTCTAGTTGGAAAAGAAAAATTAATTCAAGAAGCCAGCATTTGAGTTCCTGGCTCTCCTGCCTTCCCCCCTGCTTGAAATCTTAGGTTGTCTCACGTGTAGTAAAATTGAATCTGTGGTCAACAGCTGCATTTCAAGGACATCTTCAAAGACAGCTGAATTAAACTGGACTTCAAATGCCACTGAATGACAGTGACACGCCTATACAAGCTTTAAAAGCCTTCTAATTTTGTCTTTATCTCTCCTTGCTACAAATGCAGCTGAGAGCCACACTAGCACTCCAAAGAATCTGAAACACAGCAGAGAGGCAGCTGGGAATCCAGGGAAGGAAAGATTGCACCCTCATGTACATGCAAAGTCTAAAACCAAAATGTACCAATTTCCATCCAGTAAAAGAGGGCTTGTTTGGTGCAAAAATGTCAGGCACCAACTCTGCCATCTGTACGGACAAATTTGTCAAAAAGTTACATTTGTTTCTTAATGCAATGTTCAAGTCTGATTTTCTTTTTATTCTATTTTCTAGGATTCAGATGACCAACAACTTGTGATGAGTGGCCCTCATGACTAGAATTAAAAACTGAATTTGGCATTAGTTATCTAATAAACACATTTTTATTTACACTTACCCTGAAAAAAAAGTGTACCTACATTACAGGGAATAAAATCTTGTTACAGATTATAAACCAAAAGAGCACAGCTTTGTTTAAGATGTCTTCTACACAGATACCAACTTCAGAAGTGTTGGCTGAATCTGAGCAGTACCCACTATGAGTGCTAAAAGCAAAATTAAGTCTCAACTAAACTACCCAGAAGCAAACACCCCTCTGGGGAAAGCAGCTGATTTTCACTCACCTGCTATTTAACTTTTTATTTTACTTCATAGACTTTAAAATGGCCACAAGCACACAGGCTGCTAACTTGGCAAATATCCTAAATTTTCTAGTACTCCAGGCCTGTGCTTTCATTTTGGCTCAGTTACAATTAGAACAGGCAAGTGTGAAACAGAACATGTGGTAAACCTCTATTTTTAAACTGAGGGGATATTTTTGCTGGTATACTTTCCTGTTAGATAGTCAGCAGCAGGAAACACAACCATCCTGACTGTCTTTCTCTACCTCCTCTATCTTTCCTTGACCTTGGCTTGGTGCTTGTTTTACATCTCACCTCACTGTACAAAGGGAAGCAGTAACTGAGGCAGCTTTAGGAAGAAATGCAGGTGTTGTGAAAGCCTTCTAAAGAGCCATTTTTTGTGAAAAGTGGGCTATAAAGATGAACATCCCCTTGCTATGCAATGTCTACATTCAGTTCCTCAGGTCTGAGAGGAGCAGCAGCTGCTCCTTCAGATGCTGTGTATTTTTACCAAGCACAGCACACACAGTTACCATTGTCACCACACACAGTTAGAGATGAATCAAACTGGAGTTTGATTCACTGTCACCTCTTTCCATCAAAATATTAAATATCATAATGACAACATGAGAACACGAAAGGAACCACAAAATGGTAAGAAAATAAAGGTTTTCTTTCTGGCAGCAGTACCATCCCCTCAATCTATAGGGGCAGGAGGGAAGCCCAGGAAAGTTTTAGTTACCTCTGGGAACTGCCCCAGGAGGCATTCTCTCAGAATTCTCTGGGGCAAATCCAGGGTTGTTGATGCAGCTATCAAGCACAAGGAAGGGAATATAAGTGTAAATACACATTCATCTGGATGAAACAAACAGACAGTCCATTTCCTCATCTCCTTCCCCTGTCCCCCTACACAAGCCTGCTTGTTTTCACAGACTTTAGAACCCAAACACACTTAAACACACACATCTAGGAGAGTTTTCCCCACAAAATTTTGCAATCAATAAAACTCATGCTCTTTCCTTCTCCCCAGTCAATCAAAATATTATGATTCACAGAGACCAGAAGATAAAGTCCAAGCATTTATTTTTGTAACAATCATTAAATATTTTTATCACAAAAAAAAAAAAAAAAAACAGCTCCACAATTCATTGAACTCTTTTTTTACTGACAGGTTATTCAGCTCTGTGGTTTTGATAGACCAGAACAAAAATTTCTTCTTGCTTTGGTGTTCACATGAACCATACTCCCAAAATTAGAACAGAGACACTGTCCATTAAACATGCCTAAAAATCTCTTTGAAATCAGTAGTATAAGGTTAAAATGAGTAATGCAGAGAGCATCAAGGTGAAATCATTAAAAAAATGCAAGACATTTTTAAAAATTAAAAAGCAGCACTTTAGCACTGAAAAATAAATAATACACTTGAATATTCTCACTTAAATTTATATTATATTATCAGGGTTATTTTAAAGAAACATAACTCTTTGATAATTAACTTTTTTCATGCAACATCGTTTATTTCAACAAGTCATGCAATATAAACAATATTTTACTTCAGCTGGCTGTTGCAACATAGCTTGGCAGAGAAGTCTGATTTCTAATTTAAGAGAAAGGAAGGGTGAGAGAAGAAAATAATCTTGAAACAAAATATGCATTATGTGCATAATATAACCATCCAAGCCAATCAAATTGTTCCTGCTTAACACAGGATGAATGTACAGTGGGCTGAGCATTACAATAAAGAAATGAAGGCAAATCTGGGTTTTCCCATCTTCATACTTCATTATCAAGTTATGCTAAATATTTCTTGCACAGCCCCACCAAGTCAGCTCCTGATACAGTCAAACTAGCTTCCTGCAACACATAATCTTTTTATTCCAGCAAAATGAGCAGGACAATCAGATGAACTTACTCATTTCAAGTATATTCATCTTGTTAAACACAGGGGTGTTTAAATCACACACTTCAGTTAAGTTTGAAATAGGAGCAAAGGAAAATCATAAAATCTAAACCACCTCTGAGAACTTCATACTGATTTCAAGCATACAGGAAAACTACTTACAAAACTGTGCAGACTAAATTAGAACACATTCTTTACTTTGCAAACATGCTTTTAAAAACATGAAATATACTGTATATGAAATTCAATCCGGGTACTTGCACATACAGACAGGTTAAAAAAACCCAAACTAACCAAACCAGAAAACTTTTGGTCAACAAAAGTTTGTTTGCCTGACAATCATGACAGAAAACAAGTGATATCCCAAAAAGAATACCAAATGCTATATGTTTTGTTAATCACATGCTTTTAAAAACCAAGCCTTTAATAACTAAAATTTTAAAATTATTAATCATATTATGCCTTCTAAAGTGGCTGGGGTGGGAAGCACCACTTAAAAAACAAACATTTCCTTTGGATTCAGAGAAAGGAAACAATTCTTATTTAAAAACTACTATATAGAAGTTCTATAAAGTGCCACTTTGAGGAAATACATCAACAGATGTTTTCCTTGTGCAAAATAGACATTTTTCAGCTCAAATCTTTGAAACACATACCTACCAGAGCTACCCAGAGTTTGTGTTCATGTATTACCTTCATTATCAGTAATTCAATAAAACTTCTAATCTATACCAAAATTATTTTTCTTTATTCAAAATATGTACCACTCCTAATTTAGCTTTCAGGGCTCGAGCTAAAAACATGTCACCTGAAAACTCTGGGTTTCACTTTCTCAGTTCTTAATTTTTCTTTAAGTCCTCTGCCCATTGTGCGTGTTTACTTTTGACTGTAGAAGTCCATTACTGAAGGCTATATGAAATACATTCTCTCCTAGGGAACAGCAAAGCCACATTGCATACCACTGGAATAAGACACTGTTAAAATCTTTAAAAGCAGCATTTAGGATCAAACTAAAGCCTGATAGAGACATCTGTCTCCATTTTGAAACGCAAAATGCAAAACCTCTTGAAACTACTATTATTGGAAAGTGGATACTTGAAGTGTTCTGAAACTTAAAAAATAAGGTACCTGAAAGTTAAGAGAAGGAAGCTGAAGCAGCCCAAGCTACCACAAGTTTCAGTTTTAGGCTCAGGTCCACCTGCAGCCAAGCACAGACATGGCAAGAACAGAAACTGCAGACAGGAGAAAGAGCAGAGGAGCCTGAGCCCAGTGCAGCAGAGCCAGGACACTCCAGCCCTCGGCCCCTCACAGGTAAGGCTCCATCTGTAGCAGCAGGGAAAGCTACAAAGTGTGACCACCCCTCTCAGTCTCATCCTAAGCTTGTTACTAACTTGTATCACTGAATTACTGATGCTGGATTTAAGCTTTTCTGTGCCAAGATCCATTACAGTCTCCAGCTGGACTGCTGAAAAGGGCCAGAAGAAAGAGTCCTGGTATTTCTTTGTAAGCCACAAGGCTGCAAATCAAAGTTTTCAATGAACAAGCAAAAATAACCACCCAGAACACCAGCAGTCCTCCCCCTCAGATGTGCCCTCCCTCCTGGCCCACTACTAGTTTGTTTCAGTTTCACCTCTTCAGTTTGTAAGAGGAATTTTCACATGTCTGAGCAGGAAGCAAGAAAAACAGGTACAAAGCTTATGAGAATAAGTATGAAATACAGATAAACTAAGGTAACAGATTTAAGTGACTTAAATGAAGTACACATACATTCAAGAAAACCAACAGATATTTGTCCACTTTAGAGAGGAGCCACCAGGAGTTTATTTGATCTGAACTGTCTCTTGTAGGAAGGGTATTCTGAATGTACCAGTGCACAGCTGGTCTGACCAGCCAGGAAGTTCATGCTGCAAAGGAGTCCTTCTTGGATAAAATGTGTAATTAGGTTCGTAGTTCAAGAGACAGCTCAGTGATGCCATGTAGATATCCGCAAATCTGGAGAGACGTCTCAGGAAGTAAGTTGGATTCTCATCAGTTCTGAATATGCTTCCGAACTGTGCATTGAAGAAATTCCTGTTCATCTCCCTGTCCCCCAAAAAGAGAAAGCAAAGACAATGAAGTAAACAGACCTGCACACATCTCTTCACCACCTGGCATCCATAACCTGAAGCAAGCAGACCCTAAAACCTGTTCTATGCATTGTTCTCTTGCCATTGTTCTTCAAAACAACAAAATGTGCCACAGAAGCTTTTTACCTCTTGCACATATACAAACCAGGTTAGAAACTGTGTGTATTAGAAATAGCTGTGAAGAGCTTCACACATCTCCTACTAGAGATAAGTTGCTTATGACATCAGAAATACAACATCCCAAGCCTTCTTCTCTAGGGATTGTGAAAGAAGATTTTTGACTTTATCTAAATACTAATGACATTCAATGTTCCAAAGATAAAAGACTTAAGAAAAGGCAAAGATTTGGCTTAATGCACACAAAAAGCTTAAGCGTATCTTGGAATTAAGTTCTGGGCATTAGTCACTGCCAAGTATCATTCCCATTTCATTTATTCATACATTTCTGGGGAAAGCTGTTGGTGGTACAGCTGCTGGCCTTGAAAATCGTGCACTTCACAGCCCCTGCCTTTAGGGACTTCTCCTTCATTATAATAGATTATTAGGACTTCTAGCCCTATTACCTATCTTGGTGATAAATCCACTGCTAAATCCAATCTAGTGCAGAGCTCAGTTTCTATATATTCTAATATGCATTACACACAATCTGCAGAAATCATGTAAAAATCCTGGAAACATGATCTTAATCTTGACAAAGAAAATTTTTGTTCGTGCAGAAGCTGTGTGATCAATGGTGACAGCTGAACACAGAGGGACAGAAGAATCAAAATGAGAGGGAAAGGGATTTAATACAATGTTACCTTTCCATAAAGAAAAGTTACATCTGTTCTAAAGACAGGGAACAGGGAAAAGGGTCCATATATACAAAGTGTCTGAGGGGAGAAGAGCTGCACAAGAAACAGGTAGAATATTGGTATAAAAATACCTTATAATGTCTGTAACTACCAGGGAATATAAACCAGGAAAGAAATTGCAAACAAACTTGTGGAACACATTGCATAGAGCCCTTGGCTACCAAAGCATACTGCAAATTCTTCATCCCTGTGTTTTACCTCATTTCCTTTCTTTCCTTCTTCCATTCTTCTAAAATCATTTGGGAATCAGGATCACGGTGAACCTGAAATGTAAAATATGGATAACCTGTAACTAAGGATAACTTTGTAAAGTTTTCTATCAATAAACACTTATCAGCTAACAAGGCATGAGCAAGAATTCAGAGATCTGTACACAGAAATTATCCATGTGCATTTGAAACAACCAGAAGCAGGAACTGATCCTGGCTGACCAATGGAGAAAGGGGACAAGATGGTGAGAAAACTCCTATTAACTAACCACACAAATAACTGTGTTTATCTACAGTCCAACACTTCAGCGAGACTGAAAGCACTTGCAAACATCAATGTCCAGCATTTAGAAATTTGGCTGGATCCCTTTGGCTCTCCAGAGCCGATTACATACACACAGAGCACAAACCTGCATGTGTTCCAATAATCCTGTCAAGGTTTGCAGCCAGGTCATGGTTTGAATGTACTTCTCTGTGTTCATGATTTTAATCTCCGATCGTAACTCTGGAATAATCGCACCAGTGCGCCAGCCATGCTTCAGGGTCAAGTCCTATTTACCAGGAATTACAAAATAAAGATATTAATCTTAAAAAGAACTAATTAAAAGAAAAGAATCTGACTATTGTTTATCCCAAAGCAGCACTAATTTAATTGGTTTTTATGTACAAATAGAAGCATGAAACAGTGGGACTTAATTGTGCCAATGGACAATATAATTTAATTTCAGATTAAGCATCAAATCCGACATTTTTGAGGAGAAAGAGATGAAGAACACACAAGCACTTCCAAATAAACACTAATTCATTAGGTTTCAAACAAACAGCAGGAAATGCCTCTGTAGATGAGAGCTCTGCTGCTGCCAGCAGTACCTGGAGGAACCGTGTGCTGGGTTTGTTCTGTTTACCCACACACCCAGCTGACAGAAGGCTACAACCAGGAGCCCCAGCTATTCAAGCTCCTCCTGACAGGTACAACACAAGACAGCTGCCACCTGTGCTGTCCTCTCCATTGTGCCACAGCAGAACAGAACAACCTCCTCCTGGAGGATGCCAAGTAGTGGTCACTAACCCAAAAGTAACACTTAACAGAGCATTTGTTCATAAGGTAGCAAAAAAAAAAAAAAAAACAAGCCTGGAAAGTGGGGATAAAAATCAAAGCAAGATCTTGGGAAGAACATTTACACTTAAGGACAGGAAGATTGCCTCTTGCATTCAAAACAGAAGTTCATTCAGCTGTCATCCAAGTCAGACATATCCTGTACATTTGGATATCTGTGTTTACCCTCTATTACATCTGACACAATCAGTACCTGGACCAGGAATACAACCTCACACATTCCTGACCACAGTTAGTAAACAACTTAAATGCTACAAGTCAGGTGGAAAATATGGTTGGCATTTTACAGCACCAAGGTTCTTCATTGGGAAAAAAAACCAAAAAACAATATAACTTAACTAACAAATTTTTCTGTATTTTAAAATCTCAAATGAAAGTGTGTTACATTGACTAACTGGGGAGGAAGAGAGAAAAACTAACAGAAAGCCTCATCTTTTCTCTGATTTTGGGAAAGCAAACTACTTACTGCCAAGTCACTGTATATGTGGTCACCAAAGTAGAGAACCTTAGAGCCCCTCCAGCCAGTGAGCTTCAGAAATTCGTACAAGTTACCCTGCAGAAAAAAATGACATGGACATCGTAGCAGCATGTGACTTGCACCTTCACAGGCATGAAAAAAGGAACTTAGTATGCCACTAAAAATATTTCATATCACAAATCTCATCCTCAGTTTATACACTATGAAACCCAAATTTTAGAGGTGATTTCAGTGATAGAAGCACTTCAAGACACAAGGACATACAATACCAACAATGAATTTGTACAACTTCAGACATTAAAATAACTCTCTTAAAGAATGCATCTGCATTTTAAAAGCCTTTATATCCAAAGAAGCTTGAGATACTAGGAAATAGGTATGAAAACTCAACAGAAAGAGTCCATTGAAAGCATACCTGTTTGTAAATCTGGCCTTTCTGCAGTTTGTGAATCTTGTCCCAGAGCAAGACTCCCCTTTCATTCACCTTCCGAAATGGTCTAGAATAGATACACAGTTGTTATATTGCTGTAGAAATCCTGACACTTCTTAGGAAATTAAAGCCTTAACATAAAAAATATTCATCTCTCAAAAGGAAAAAAAAAATATCTCTAGCATCTGAATTTTGTAAGAGAAAAAGCAAAACCCCAAAGCTTCCACTGTAACCAGCAAAAAACAATGTAACCCTCCAGTATAGCTATTGACATTTACAGATATAGTTTGAGAACAACTGCTGAGAAGTAAGGCAGGGACCCCAGGCAGAGGGGAAGAAACAGCATTAATTGTCTGCCACTAAGGAGGACAGAACACAAAAAGCCAGATGTGTAAGAATCTTGCCCAATCCTTCAGTTTGCACACCTGGATAACTGAAGATGAGAGAGAACAGGATTGGGGCCAAGAGATATAGCAATGTTATTTTTAAAATTAAATGCAAAAAGTAAAGGGAAAATAATCCCACCTCCCTCTATCTCTCTTTCAAATCATAAGCACACATACAGGAACAGGTCTTTTTCAAGGGTAAAAGTAGGGCATACACATTAGAAATGTGTTTACTTAATCACAACTAGTCCAATTATTCCAGATTGTCAGCCAGACAGATGCCTTTTAAATATGTGTGATGAAAAAAAAAACCAACAAAAAACCCAGAAGCAATGGAAGACATTTCCAGATAAGGGTCTGATTTGAAAGTCATCAAGATTTCTCAGGTTTATTAGGAAAGAAGCACACTTCACTAACATGCAAGTAAGACTTTAAAATTGGCTTCTGTGGCCCTCAGTTGCTCCAGTAGACCTGTGATGGCTCCTAGAACTTTCTTAGGCAAGAAAGTGTAAATATTTAGACTTCAGCATTGGATGTTGCTGCATTTTATAATGACCTTACCCAGGATTTCAAATATGATTTCATTTTACATTGCAGCCAAACGAAAATATTTCCTAACACACTCTAAAGCCTTATATGGAAGAGCTGCTTGAATCATTCTTTACTGACTGAACACCCACCTTCGCTTATCATTGAAAAAGTTTGGTTTCTCAGCCTGGACAATGACCACATCAAAGAGATCCCTCCAGTCCTTGCCAACGATGAACTTCATGCCTTTGTCCCTAAAAAGGACAGAGGGATATAAACAATCAAGTGTGGCAAAGTGCAGTTGCCTGTGCAATAAAATTAGTTATACTAGAGATCCTCATCTTCCCCATCCCTTAAGAATGCTTAGTCAAACAGCAAACAAGTGCTCACTTACACAAAGCTGCTGGGACTGTTTGTGATGAGAAACATCTTCTTTCCATGATCAGCCAGCTTTGCTAACACTGCACGAGTTTGTTCAGCATAGCAGATGTACTTCTCTGTGAGAATTGGGGAAAACAGGATTGATTGAGAAAACTCTTGTGAAAAACTTTGTATGCATTCAACCAAGAGTTCAGAACACAAGGTTATACTTAAACACACCTTTGACAAGTGGGAATAACTCTTTCAAACTTTAAAAATTTACAATTTGTAATCTTTAAATATGGAAGCCGGAAAAATCATCGGAAAGAAAAGCTTTGATAGGTTACACCATTAGTACTTACCAATATCTGCTTCAATTGCTCTGTACATTATTCCTTTGATATGAACATCCCTGATTGAATCCTGTAATTAAAAAAAAATGAGCAATAAAGAACTTAATTTTTTCAAGTGTAACATCCATGCCCACTACAGCAATAGAATTTTTTTTTAAAACAACTCCTTTCTAAACACTTCCTATTTTATAGAAATGCCGTTTAATGTTCAATATAATTATATGTATGTGTGTGTATATATATATATATTTGATGTCATCAGTAGACAAAGACTAAGCTTGTCTTCTGAGAAATTAACTTCAAAATTTTGGGAAGTACAAAACTATACATCAGAGAGGCTGTTTTACATAACTGTGAAAGGTTGCTCAGGAGGGTGAAGTGGGGTGAAAGCCCTCTGCAGAAGCAGAGTCATCACAGATTTCCAGTGACATTTGGAGCAGAACACATTCCTTTCCCCTTACAAAAAAAAAAAAGTTGTACATCTGACAGATTTTAGATTACAATCACTCACAAATGCCCTGATTATTTACATAAGAAATTTATGAACAGATGAAAGAAGCTAAATGTTTTAACAAAGTACTTATAAGGCGCTCTGGAGGCATTTAACAGCTCTCGTGAGCCAGCTCTGTACCAGACAGCTTTGTTTAGAACAGTGGTAGTGCCATTTTGGTACTAACACAGGGTGTGTCCTCAAAATCCTCAGAAAATACCACTCTAGGGTTTCCAAAATGCTTGTAATGCTGAATAGTTAAAAAAATTCTCTACACACATCAGAGAAACCACAAGAATTGGCCTTCTCTATGTTACATAACCATGAAAAAATTATCTCCTCTGCAGGACACATGATAAGGAATCAAGAGGGTCAAATTACTCTAGCAACTTAATAAAAACTCTAGTACTAGAGCTTTTTTGGAGGAAGAAGAGAGGTAAACAGCGAAAATTGCTCAAAAGTATGAGATAGCAAATGACTGTACACTAGCCAAAATGAAAGCTCTAAACTGGAATTCCCTGTAGCCTCTTAACATTCCCTATAGCCTGGTAAATCCCCAATAGTGAGAAAAAGGATATGTTGAACAGCAACCACAAGAACTTTTATCATCTTAAAAGATCTTCTTCACTTTCCCCCTATTCACTCCTCAAACCTACAAAAAGAGAAAAAGCCCTAGAATGTCAGCTTTCAAACAAATTTCAGTTGATTCTTTTCCAAGCTCTACCTTAATTTTACTTCTGTTTTTACAGTTGCATACCCATAATTACTCCATACAAAACCTAAGGTGAGGTATTTCATTGAGGCTGGCACAATAGGCAAAAGCTTCCTGAAGTGCTCACAGAGAAGACACACAAATATACAAGTTTCTCTAAATCTTCAGAGCTTGACATCTACCTTGACATCTTTGTACAGATGAACAGGTTCATAGTCTATGTTGTTTTTCAGAAAATATTCATTCACACAAGAAAGGAGTGTCATTTCTGGCAAGGAAAATATATCCATGAATTGCTTCATTGTATTTCCTTGTGAGCTCTACAGTGATGGAAGAAAAGGAAAGAAAAAACAAAGTCAGGCATTTCTCAGATTAGAACACTTTAATTTGTTTAGTATAAACACTTCGGCCTAGTTGCAGATATTCAGATTTTGCTATCCCTGTTCACATTGCTACAGATTTTTTTTTTTATCCTGAGATCTTCAATAAAGTTATCTCCAACAAAAGTGTTGTGATAAATTCTTCAAATAAACCCAAATCATTACTCTTAGGAGTGGTATTTTAATTCATAAAAACAAGACAGCGCTCAGCTAAAAGTCAAGGCCTTCAGTAGAAGACTGCACTTCTGCAAACAAGAGGTGCTGATGGATGAGGGATGGAGGTTTTTTTAGTTTGGTGGCTTTTTTAGTAAGTGGAATACTAATTAGAATTGCAAAGTAATTTACCTCCTTGAAATGAGATAATAAAAAGATGTAAGGATCCACAACACCTAGCACAGTAACAGAGGAAGAGATTTCTAGCCTGCAAAAGCTGTAATAACAGTTATGTTTTACTGGAGAATCTCATTATATAACAGTAAATACACCCCAAATAACTCTCAATAAGAAGGGAGGTAAAGCAAGAAGCTCAGGATCAGAGCAACACAAAGCAGAGGCTGCAAGGGACCACTGGAGGTCATCTTGTCCAAGCCCCCTGCTCAAGCAGGGCCACCTAGAGCCAGCTGCCCAGGAGCCTGCCCAGATGGCTTCTGAGTATCCCAACAACGGAGACTCCCTGGGCAACCAGCCCAGCTCCCTGGGCAACCAGCCTGTGCCAGTGCTAGGTCAGCCTCACAGCAAAGAAAGCATTTCCTGATGTTCAGAGGAAACCTCCTCTGTTTCAAGTTTGTGTCCCTTGCCTCTTGTCCTGCCACTGTCCTCTACAAGATCCAGGAAAGTATAGGCTTAAACAGATCAAGGCATCCCCCTGGGAATGCCAGAGTGATATTCACAACTGCTGCAGAGACTAGTTTCAGGAACTTTAAATTCAGCTCCTTAAAATAAGAACAAGTGCAAGATCAATAAAATGTTCCACATCACAAAGAAGGGCTTTTCATGACAACATGAAATTAACATCTGTACATAAAAAGGGGTGAAATAAACTTGGCTGTTAAGCATAAAGTCAGCTTCATCTCATCCTTCATTTAGGAAAGGGGAACCAACCCACCAGAGGGAAAAATCTACTTTCTTGGCAAAGTTTAGGATTTAACATAGAAATGTCATCTTTTGTGTTTCATCTTTTGTCAAATCCTCTTACTTTCACTCTGCCAGTTTGCATGCAGGACTTGCCTCCATACATTTACTTGCTGCTACACCAGCTAAGCCATCAGACCACCAGGAAAAAGTAAAGTACATAAACCAGATACGGTTAATTTCCCAGCCTTTATCAGATTCTGTGTGCAAGACTGAGCAAGTCACTTGATCTTCTGTGTTCCACCACTCTGTCTGTATGACTTGGTAAGGAAATAGTCAGAGAATAAACTACAGCGAGCAAGAGAGAGAAAAGTAATTTGTCATTTAAAGGGCAAACTTCACACTAAACTAAAGTCAATCATATATTGAGAAAATATAACTGCTAGTTATAATGAGTACAAAATTTAAACATTGGCATACCCTCATGCCAAAAAAACTTCACCCAATTTTAAAGACCCATTTGTGGGTTTACCTTTCCATAGAAGTCACTCATTTGTTCTAAAGGGACATGGGAACCATCATACATTGCAATGACTTCTTCATCTGGGACAACACTGAGGCCTCTGGAAAAAAACCACTAGCTTTAGTTGAAAAGTCAGATTAAAATTTTCAAGTAATCACAAAACCCTAACAGATTAACATTTAGATCTGGATCTTATTAAAACCCTAATAATGTCACAGGAACATCTTTGTTTGTAAGTTAAAACAGCATCTTTCCTTACCAAACAAATAATATTTTAACAGGCTCATGCACACAGAACACATTCCAATTTAAAGTCCTTTTTTACTTATGAGAAAAAGAGCTTATCAGTCTCCATTAAAGCTATGCCTCAAGGGTTTTTTTAAGAAGTGGTTAGAACTTCCAGTTTCTTAACACAAAGTAATTCCTCACACTGCCTTTTATACAGCACTGATGATATGATAGTGTTTAAATCAGATTATTCTACAGCATGACCTTGAAGATCTAAGGGAGTGAAAAATACACACAACATTTAACCAAATAAGAATTTCTTTTAAACTGCATGAACAGTTCAGTTTCCCAAAATTTAAAACTACTTGAAGGATGGTTGATAATTAAAACATTCAAATATAACAACAAATGGGGAAGACGGAGATAACGTCTCCCCAGAGTTTATCAACTATTAGGAAAGTAAAGGCTTTAGTTTGGTTTTGAATGTTTACAGCATCAAGCACCTTGAACTAGAAGACTGCAGGCATGCAAACATCCTCACCAGAGGCCACAGAAGTCTTGAGATTTTACTCAGGATTAAAAAAACACTAATGCAAACCAGATCAGCTGGTCTCCTTTTCCCAAACCTACTCATGGTGTTTTGCAGCCTTGTAAAACAGACCATTATTTCAGTGCCTCCCTTTCTTGGTCTGACCAAGAAGTGTTGCCAGGCACTAAAATAAAAATAAATTAATTCACACGCCTAGTGCTTTCAGTGCTTAGAGTCCACACCAGTTGCAGTGGAAAGGCATGATACATGAACTTCCTCAGGGCTTCTGTGGTGGCAGAGCCCCACATTAACCAGCTTCTTTACTGCACTTCGGTCCCCACACCAACTGGGACACAACTCCGAGCTGCTGCTGGCAGAACTCCAGCATTCAAGTTGGTCTTGTGCACCAACAGGACAGAGAATACCTGGGTTTTGTAACATACAGAGTTCAGCAACAGCCCCTCCACGGCAGAAAGCACAAAGAAATGCAACCAAAATATAAACAGAAACCAGGTAACACCATTAGAATTGAGGAGGTACCTTCTGGTCTGCAGGCAGCCATGCCAAGTGCTACTTGAATACTGCTAGAGAGAACACCTGTGCATCAGGAGCTACTCGAGCACAGATCAAGAGGAAAATGTGAAAACCACACTGGAGAGATGACTGCCTAGGCAAAGCTGTAGAGTGCTTTTACCACAAGCCTCACAGTCTTGACACAGTTCACACTGCAGCTGTGACCACACATCATCATGACATTAGCCCTCACAGCCTTCAGCCTCTCTTTTCCTCCCCTCATCCCTGTACAGGTGTTTGGGGAAACAGCATGAAGGTCTGATGCAAACCATCATTTCCAGGTCACATCCCTTCTGGACCCAAATTTGGGGGTTTTGTCCTCATGATGGGTGGGGGAAGACAACTAAGAATACAACAGAATAAACCTGGGTAAAAGTCTTTTTGTCCAGTGACTTTAAGAAAGGTGACCTGACTTCTTGTCTAATTTAAAATCTGGTACTGAGTGTGATGCAAATCTGATTTGGTTGATGTGTCCAAACTTAAAAGCTCTGTGCAAACACAGCAGGACCTCTCAAGTGTCTCCACAACCACACCAAAGTCATGCTATCAGGCACTCTGTGACAATTATTTACATAGAAAGCAAGAGCAGAGAAGTCATCAGGGTATTTTTAGATGTCTTTCAGCACAATTTAACAGCCGGAAACAAAGTGAGTCAGCACTATGTGACCAACCAGCTTGCCAATTCTGCCAGGGCTGAACTGGGGAATCAGCTGTGCTGGATCAGGCAGTAGATGTGTACACACAGAAGTGCAAAGAAAACCCTTCCAGCAAGGCTGTAATGCTCATTCGTGTCTGCACTCATCAGGGCACAGCTCCTGGTAAGAATCCAAGCTGCACACTAATAAATGCAGTTAAAAGACACAAAAAATAGAAGCATACATTGCTATTATGAAGAACAAATAACTTTACCCACCTGTAAACTGTTCCCAGCTGAATATAATGAAAAGCATCGATCTTCATTAATAATGCCTTGCAAGTAAAGAAAAAAAACAAAATAATAGTTTTTATCACTTCAACTATGACATGAAATTACAAAAGTCAAAGCAATTTTATCTACAACCTTTCTGCCTCAAGAACACCTGAGCACTCTCCCTGCAACTTCCTTTACAGCTTACAAAATACTTTTATCACTGACTTTCACCTGGTTTTATCCTGTTGCACCCTAAGTTGTCTTTTCCCACCCATCATGAGGACAAAATGCCTAAAACATGTTCCACTTAAGAGCCATTTTAAAAAATATTGTTTTTCTTATTGATGATGTTAATAATAATAACATTAATATTAATAATAATAAAATAATAATAGTCATAATAGTAATAATAAATAATAGTAATAATAACAATAGCAATAATAAAGAATAAATCTTGCTATTAAAGAGAAAAACATGAAACTAAATCCTTATACATCAATGCAGAGTGAAAAGTTGAAAGGTTTAAAAGCTCTGTTTTCTTTGGATAAGTTCACAGCGCTACATAACTCATCACGAAGTTATTTATACATACCCGGTGCACATCATAATGAAGTCCTCTGATGGCAAAATTGGGATCATAATCATATTTTCTTATTTCTGCAGGATACTAAGAAAAGAGAGCAGTGATTTGACCTTTAAAACCATAATCAAAACAATAAAAATTGTTTCTGCAGAATTTCAAAAGTCTAAGTTTTCTATGCTTCTCCTTTGCTCTAATCATTTAGGAGAATTTTTCACAGGCTGGTGAGATTTGCAGGAACATATATCCACAAGACAAGTCAAACTTTATTCCAAAATCGAAATTGTTTTAAATTTAAGGCCATCCTGGTCCCTGAAGCTGAACATCCAGGTAGTCTGTAGTGATTACCTTTGAACATTAGCCTCTTAATCAAAAAAAGTTAATTTAACATATTCTTCATACATTAAAAAAAAAAAATTATTTAGATATGAACTAAATGTCTGTCATGTACTCTTCCCTCAGGTTCCTTATATATAGTGTAAGTAGCCCACACCATTACATAGTGAGAGTTGTAGTCTAACATTTTTCAGTACAAGCCCATTTTCAGTCAGCTGTAATTTTGTTGTGCTTTAAACACAGGTTGCCATGAAAAGAAATGTTAGGAGCATGTCTTGGGATTTGTTTACTTGTTTTTAAAGGGTGAAATGCTTCAGTAGTTTCAACAAGGCCTGAGAAAACGATAATTTCCTTGATTATGCCTCTGAAAGGCAATCCTTCATTTTCTTCCCACAGGTTACAGCAGCCTTAGAACCTGACATTGTTTTTCACCTTCTCTACCACAGTCTCTATACATATATGGCAAATTAACAAGCCTTCAGGGGGAAAAGTGCATTATGCAGCTTCAGCAGAGCCTCTAGCTACTTTACAAGAAATAAACAGTCATTTCACCCCTAAGTTCTTATCTTGCTGAAGAGGACTTGCTCTGCAACTGCTGTAGATTGCACTTGTACTGAGTACAGGCATCTACAGTTAAAGAAAACAGTCCTATCATCCCTACACTAGCACTTCCAGAAAACGTGGGGCAGGCTACTGATCTGAATGAAGAACAGCATCAAAAGCCTACAGATGGGCTGGAAGAGGTGTAGGCTTGGTCAGGGAACACAAAGCAGGGAAATAATCAGGGAATGATACAGAATGTGATCATCTAAAAGCTACCATGCACTGCACGTGCCCCAAAGCAACCACATCAAGCATGTACAATGAAATTTACTTCTGACTTTATCAAATTTCCGCATACTTGACTTGCCATTGCAATTTATTCTACTAGAAAGTTGCCTTTTCGGATACATGCCAGTACAGATGAGAAAAAAAGATTGAGCTTACCCTGGCACACAAATCAAAGCTTCCTTGCAAACCAAAGAAAGTAGTACTGTTTGCTTACCCCACTTTTGGTAGGGAGAAATATAATTGGACTAAAACAGAAGTCCTGATAAAAAGGCACAAGACCTGTGCTTACACAGAACACCTGCTGCCACCTCCATGATTAGCATTAAATTGATGCTTATTCTCTTGGACAATTCCTTGCTTCCTACAGTGCATTTTGCAATTTTTGATGTATTGCCTCCCACTGTCACAAGCAAAACTGGCTATCTTTCTTCTGGGTTGGCTGTGATAGTCATAACAGACACCTTCTAGAAGGTTTTTTTTCTATTGATAAAGGCAAAAAAAAAAAAAATATTAACAGTATAAGCAGCTACAGACACAGTATCAATAAAAACTATTGTGCCTCAGTAAATTCCAAAAGGAGACAATGTATTTCAGTCAGGTGTCTCAAAAAGTAATTACAGCTTTGTTTAGTAGAACTCAGGAGATGTTAACAAGACAAACTGGAAAACTATTGCTACCCAAATCCAGTCAAACAGTAAAGGCAGAACACCATTATAATTTTTATCTACAAGAATTAATCTTCACTCCTACAGTAACATGGGTTTTCCCAAGAACCATGTAGCTTTAATAAAGTATATTTACACATCCCACAGAAATTGCTATCAAGACATGCCAAAATTGTAGGGGGATAAAGCTGTATGCTTGTAGCACCCATGAAATTTTGCTTGCTCTTCCAAGGATATTTATAGGTGTTTATATATAGCTCCTAACCTTTAGATTGAAATACGAAAGTAGAATAACACCACGCATTCGGATTTAGGTTGTATAAAAATACACAAGCAGCTTTATTAACATATTCCATGGACTTTTTGTGTTTTACTTTCCTGCAAGTCCTACAGTTTAGTTAAGTTTGCTTCTTTTAGTCCACAGATTTTTTTTTTCAGTCTTTCTCCCAGCAATGCCTTCAGTTTCCCAAGTCACCCATCTCCCCCCCTCCACTTGCTGACACACGGGAGCTTATCCCATCCCCAAAGTAGACAATAAGCAGCTCCAAACTGCCTGGATGTCAAGTGGTCACCAAGAACACTGCTTGGAGAGGCAACAGGGCACTGCTCTGAGCTGAACACTTCCTTGTATCCAAGGTCTGATCACTGCACACAATGCCCCCTCAGCCAAGGCAGCCAAAATGCCAGGTACACACAGAGTACCTCACAAGCACTCAGTGCAATCAAACTTCCTGCTAGGAAGTCCAGCTAAAAATATTTCATAGGGAAATTAATTGCTGCACTCACAGTAAGGGATGAAACGCAGTAATGGTAACTTTTAAGCTTTTCATTTATTAATGCGACTCCAATAAATGACAATCAGGAACAAACAACAAACTACGTGCCCACACTAAAAGATAAGACAAATATAACTGTATTCCCTAACAGACTGTTCCCTGCTCAAAACTGCAGCTGAGAATAAAACAGGGCTTCTGTTGTGCATATGTAGCTACTGTACAAAATGTGCTATAAGGGAGCCAAGCTAAGACTGAGGCACGACAAGATGATTTATGCCTCTCAGTCAAAAACTATTTACTATACCTTTTATTCATAAATGTATTGTTATTTTATTAATTTTACTTACCCGATGCTCATTAATAAGAAGATCTCTAGCAGCATTGAATATGAGCGTGTGCAGATGTGTAGAATAAAAGACCAAGGTGTAGTCATAATCAAACCCATAAATTTCAATGTCTGACAGGCTCATTTCATTGTTCGAAAAAATAGCATCTGGATTCAGCATGTTACTCATAATTGAAGGAACCAACTCTGTGAACAGGGGAGAAGGAAAAAAAGTTACACCAGTCTTGTAGTTTTATTTAAATAAATATATACAAACCTATTAGCAACTTCTAAATATAGATAATGGAAACTATCAAACTAATTCACAATAACCAGCTCATCTTTAATAATACAATGGTATTGAACATGCTGTCCCTAACTTGTCTTGGTGACCCATAGTTTTTATTCCAAGTACACTTTTCTCTGCAGTCCAAGTTCAAAGAGAAGATGCATTTTGGTATTTTTCTTATCAGAGAACACCAGACATAATTTTTTGCTAACTCCATTAATGTATTTATTAATGTTTTTGAAAATTAATTTGGAGTTGAAGAATATTATTATTATTACTAGTCTAGGAGCTTTGTCTTTTCTTTCCATTACCTGATGCAGCTCCTGCCCCTGAAGCAGAGCTGACATTGTTTTAATTTGATTTTGCTTTAATTTTTGCTTCACCATTTCAAGGTTATCACATTAATCAATTTCAACTCACACAAATAAACTATATGTGACTGTGTACATAACAACTATTATATAAACACTGTTATGCTTATTAACCTTCTAGAGAATCAGAAAACCAAAAATATTCTGCTTATTTTCTACACACACAGAGTGTAAACTGCTCTCATTTTTAAGGGTATGTTTCTGTTGATATTTGATGGAAAAGTATATTGACTCAGAAATTACAACTGATATAATAAGTAGTAACTTTAGGACCCACACCAATGTCAGTACTAAACATTGAGAGTGCTTATATTTCTTGTTTACAAAACTTGAAAGAGCAACATTAGGAGGTTAAATGCTACTCTCCTGGCAGCATAAAACATGAGCATGTTTTCTTTCCCTCCTTTCTCATATACTGTCTTTTATACTCCAGACTTCCCCACCAGTGGAAAAAAATGGGGAACATTCATCTTAAATCTGTGCTTGGAAAGGTGAGTTTAAAGGGAACATGCTTTGTTTGGTTATTTTCTATATAGGTCTAAAAGGAATTGATCGAGCTTCTCTCAACACCTTCATCTCTGAGGACACGTCCTACATGCTCCACCACTGAAAATATCTCAACAAGGCAGACAGGTGTGGGGACTTCAGATGCAGACACCTGACTCTTTTCATTTTTAAGAGAAGGAATAAAGCAAATCCACTGCGTTTAATTCCAAACTTCAAATAAAGCCCAGCAATCAAACCAAATGCAATCTGACATGCTACAACTAAGGCAAATATTCCTACTCTATAGAAAAGGCCACAAAGCATTTTATTAACTTGAAGTCATAAGCACGATTTTTAATTAACTTCCAAAATCATGTTACAACAACTGTTTCTGTATTATAAAGTATTTTTTCAAATGTCAATTGTGCAGCTTGGTGAGTCAACACTTGTTTTAAAAATATTTATGTAGCTATATATAGAAAAAAAGATACTTCAGCTGAAAACTAGCTTGACTGGTGGCTGTCTGAAACAGACAGTATAAACAGTTGGCAGCTATTAGACATTCTGGCCAGCACACAGCATCACAAGTGCCATAAACCTTGGGTCAAAAAACTGGAGAGCCTTGTAGCCTTGTCATCTCAACATCGTAACTAACTGAAATATCATCTACTTCGAGACACTGGGTGACTTAGGTTGTAATATAATAGCCTGAAATATTCTAGAAGCAGTTGCTTCATCTTTCACCAACTCACACCCACTGACCAACTTATTTTCTCACAACATTACCCTACCTCAGCTCTAAAGTATTAGTTGGGTGTGGTTTAGAACAAGAGAAAGTTAATTCCAAAAACAGGAAAAGAAAAAATAGATTCAAAATGAAAGGCACTTCCCTTCTTCCTATCCCTTATCTCATCCTTCAAAGCCCACAGACCTCTCTTGAGATCACTACCATGGCTTTTAATTTCACTTCTGAAATGCTGACACTATTTTACATCCACAAATGCCTTGTTTGCACCCAGTGCTGTGAAGTCCAATTCACATCCAAGACTCTGAAGCCCAGAAAAACACAATGATTTCTTTTTTTAAGAGCAAAGCAAGTAATCTAAAGCATTATCCATTGCCACTACAGGACATGCTCTTCCCCTTGGTACTGTAGAACACATTCTGCCTCTTCTTCTTTCCGTCTCTCAGAAAAGACCACATTTTCAAGCAAGTATTATCTTGGTAATTCTCTTCCAGTCGGAGCAAGGGCAGAAGCAAGCAAACGTTTCTCCCCTAGCTTTTTGACTGGCTGATCAGAAGAACAAGGCTTCCCAGGGTCATGTATTGTACCGCGAGCATTTTATGATGCCTCACAGAGTGTCACGATGGAACCATAGGTGAAACAAAAAGAGCCGTCCAAAACTTCACAGCATTTTAACTTTTTGGAAGAGCAGCCTATTTCAGAATACTTGTGTTGTGTAGATATATACAATAGATATACGAGATAATATATAACGAGATGACCAACTTCTCGGATTTTCTTTCTACATTTGCTTTTCCACACGCAACACACCTCCAAAACCTGCCACTTCGCCCGGCCCAAGCTGCGCCGGCAGCCAAAGGCAGCCGCGGCCCCGGACGGGCGATGGTCCGAAGGGAAGATGAAGGAGGATGGAGGATGAAGCCCGTGTCCCCGCTGTCCGGCCCCCAGGACCCGCCGGGTCCGGCCCTGGCCACAGCACGGGAGCGCAGAGCGCACGGACGCCGGAGCGGCTGCGGGACGGACCCGCGCCTCGCCCCCCGGGCCCTTCCCTCTGCCCGCACAGGCTCCGCTCCCAGCCGCCACCCCGGACCCGTTCCCTCCAGGAGCGGCGGCGCTCCGGCCCGCTGGGGGGGAGCGGCTCACCCTTGGTGACCCTCTTGGCCTCCTTGTAGCGCGACCACAGGTAGCTCTTCATGTCGGGCGACGGCTGCTGCTGCGGGGCCACGGTGCAGAGGGGAGCGGCGCCCGCGGCGGGTAGGACGCGGCCCCGCCGCCCGCCCGCCCTGCCCGCCGCCAGCAGCGCCCGCGCCGCCGCTGCCATGCTCCGCGCACAGCCGAGCCCAGCACAGCCGCCGCCGCCGCCGCCGGCTGAAGTCACTTCCTCGGGCCCCGCCCCGGGACGGGAGGCGGGCCCGGCCCCGCAGGTAGCGGCGGGAGGCTGGGCTTGGCCGCCCCGACGTCCCCTCGCCTCGGGGCCCGGCGCTGGGCGGGCTCGGCTGCGCCGAGAATTCAACAGAAATCAACAGAAATCAACAGAATTCAACAGAATTACTAGGTTGGAAGAGCCCTCCAAGATCAGCGAGTCCAACTCATGGCCTAACACCACAACTAAACCATGGCACCCAGTGCCACATCCAGTCTTTTTTAACACATCCAGGGATGGTGACTCCACCACCTCCCCGGGTGGACCATTCCAGTACTTTATTATTCTTTCCTTGAAAAACTTTTTCCTAATATCCAACCTATATTTCCCGTGCTGCAGCTTGAGACTGTGTCCCCTCGTTCTATCAGTTGCTGCCCGGTGAAAGAGACCAACCCACACTTGCCTATAGCCACCTCTCAGGAAGTTGTAGAGAGTGATAAGGTCACCTCTGAGTCTCCTCTCCACGATAAACAACCCCAGCTCCCTCAGCCATTCCTCACAGGGTTTGTGTTCCAAGCCCCTCACCAGACTCGTTGCCTCCTCTGGATGCGCTCAAGCTTCTCAACGTCCTTCCTGAACTGCGGGCCCAGAACTGGACACAGAACTCAGGTGCAGCCTCACCAGTGCCGAGTTCAGGGGGAGAATGACCTCCCTGCTCCTGCTGGCCGCACCATTCCTGATCCAGGCCAGAATGCCGTTGTTCTTGGCCGCCAGGGCACACTGCGGGCTCACGTTCAGGCAGCTGTCATCAGTACTCCTTGGTCCCTTTCCACCTGGGCATTGTCCAGCCACATCGTCCCTTGTCTGCATGACTCACAGAGAAGAGGTGCGTCAAGAAGAGGTGCCTGAGGAGCAGAGCCACATCTCCCATCTCCCCAGGAGGGAAAGCAGAGTCCCCCCCATCCACCATCACCACCAGCAGCATTTTATCGGTGCTGCTGCGCAAGGCCAAGAGGAGCTGCCTGGGGAACATACCCTGACCTCATGGCTCTGCTGCTTTTCAGGTCTCTGCTGTGCTCGGACCTGCCTGGGATTCTCTCACCACAAACACCTCATCAACAGCAAATAGTTACTTCTCCAGGCCACTTGCACTTCCAAAGTACTATATACACCTGCTTTCATCTGTAACAAAATAAGCTCAAAACACAGGCTGCATGTAAAACACACAGATGTTCTACTGCTGTTTTGAGGCCCTCATGTCCTTGTGAAGCACTAGCCACTGATAGCTGTAGATCCTGGCAGACTAAGAATTTGAGCCGTATCTATGAATATTTGGAGAAAAAAAAATTAGATGATGCATGGATGAAGAAGAATGAGACCAAACCACTTCCACAGTAAACTGGTTACAACTCCACATGCAGAATTCCTGATGTATTCAGAAACTTTTTGCAACAAAAGGAACATATTCTTTTTCTGGTACAGTAAACATTGAATACAACTTGTTCTTATTTCAAGGAGATCTACATAACCCATTGTTGTTTATGTCTGGAAGTTACTCAGCCATTCATCCCCACCCATCTAAAAAAAAAAGCAATCCTATACAAAACTGAGGGATTTCAGACAAAATACTACTCTGACCACTCTCTCTTTTTTCTTTTCTTTTTTCTTTTTTTTTTTTTTAAACAAAGAATGGCACTCACCTTATTTTTACAGGCAAAACCACAACAAACTGAAAGAAAAATAATCAACTTTGGATTTCAAAGTGTCTATCAGTGGGTAGCTATGTGTTCTGTACTTCCAACCAAGGCTGAGTTCTTGATTGACAGTACAATTATTACAATTGAGATTGACAAAAGTCTGATACGCTAAGGACTTCCCAGTCTTGGTTATTGGTGGAGACCAGACACAGCTTTCATCAAAATTCCTACATTGTCCTTTATGTTAATTGCATTGTCATTTCAGTATGTGATTCTGGTATGTATCACTACAAATACCATCACGATAAATTCTGGGAACAAGATCATCAATATTTAGAAAACAGAGGTGAGAGGAAGAACATCCTAGAGAATTACTAGTCTGGTACTTGCCTTCTTTGATGTTCCTAGTCTGAGAATACTTTTACAGAACCCTGCAGCAGACAAAATGAAAACTCCCACTTAACTTTCAGCATCAGATTTTCTATGTACAACTACAAAAAATAAAAAATTAAGTCATTTATGAAATTACAAGACTTGGTTAAAGTCATTTTGAATTTATGGCATAGTTCTAGAGTATCATGAGTTTTCCTTTCAGCCCAACTCTTCATCACCTTCAACACAAACATATAATAATTGGACAGCTTTTTTAATCCAGCCTATGGGTTAATTAACCCCACATGAAATTCAGTTGAGATTAATAGAAAAAGTCTCATTGTTCTTCTCCTGAACACAACCTATCCTGGTCTACAAGTCCCAAGACTATAAATATTGTAAACAATAACCACTTTGGTAGGTGAGGCATTTTCAAAGAAGAATTACAACTCCTCCGAATAATACAAGAAGGAGCAGTAATGAAGAAGACGTGTTGAATGTGTTGGCACACGTGTTGTTTGTTCTGCCGTAGGCAGTAACAGAATACTGCAGAGACAGGATTTATGTTCCCTCACTGTGACACCAGCATTAAGGTTAGAAAAATCTAATAAAAATCCAGAAAAAGACAGTGCTCTATAGCAGTATCACTCATCCCTTGAAACCTCAAGGCTTTAAGTTTTCACATTAATTTATTTTTTATAATGAATGTCAATATTTCTATTTCTTCTACAAGCATGTGCAAGACAGAATCTTGAATGTGTAAACTATTATTGCTGATAGAAATCCCATCTTTGCTGCAGACAGTTTAGGTTCCCAGATAACCAGGACAAACCTTTAAAAAGATCATTCTCCCTACATATCAGACAACAAGATTTTTTTAATGCCTTATGTATGCAATACAAATAAAAAGAGAAGGTGTTTTCTCTGTGTAATTTGGTTAGCTAAAGCAACTCCCATGGGGTGTTTGGCCAGCGAGTTATTCTCACAAATCAAACTAATCCCTAAGCATTAGCAGTGAGACTAGAGACAGAACTAAAACATGAGGTAAGAGTGTTTAAAAATAAGTTGTTAAACATCTCAACTTCAGACAACTCTGTTCTTCCCTGTGTCTGCTGGTTTCCAAGTAATGACTCAAATAGTGGAAAATATGTGATAATGTAAACTGGTATGAAGGAGCACACATGGAAATTAATTGATCTTTATTTGGGGTCCACATTCCTTCTTCCAATACTTAAATCAGCTTTTATTTAAGCAGAAGAGAACATGCAGAAGTAGATGATGTCAACTTCAAGAATTTTTTCTAAAATGGCACTTACCATGAAATATGATCCTGCAAGTTAATGTTACTTTAAATACTTCCTAATCAGATCAGTCTAAGTGATCCTAAAGATGACTGTGATTAAACAATATTAATTAATTAATTAAACAATGCACAAAAGAACCCAGATTTTCCCTTATCTTATTGTCAGAGTTGACCACACCTATGATACTTACTTGGTGCAAACTGAAAGGCATTTAGGTATATCTGACAATTAAAAGAATCAGAGAAGAATCTCAGAGGGCTATCTTACAGAACAAGAGAGAGCATGGGCCTAAAACCAAAATGGCATGAGTTTTGTTATGTACATACCACATAGGCTGATTTATATCTGGCATTCCACTATTATTCATGGCCTGTAGAATTTACTAGGACTTGGGTGAGGATAACAGACATGATTTCTTTCAAGCTAAAGAGAATATTTATGAAGTGTTTCATTTTTGACTGAATTTTGTGACCAGGAATATTTCAGAGAGAGGCTACACAGTATCCTCATTCACAAGCACCAGCTCCTTTAGCACTGCTGAAGGCTCAGGACACAGATGCCATGTGATCTCAGCATGTGCATACACAAAACACCCCTGAGAACCTGTCAAGTGTTTTGTGTATATCACAGATGATGGGTCAGACACCACATCTAATTTCTCCGGTTTGAAAGTTTTTTTGACACAGGGAAAGCACACAAATTTCTCTGCAGCCTAATCAGCCCTGACAGCTCCTTCCCACATCTGAGAGCACTCAACACCTCAGAAACCACTTGGCCAATAAAGACACTCCTGCACTTAAGTCACTGAGGGATGTATTTCTAATCAGCTTGTACAGCCTTCAACTAAAGCCTCTGACTGGACTAAGAGATACTGCAATTCATTAAAGCACCATTAAATGAAATTAAAATCCAACACTAGGAAAGCTGACAATGCCTTATGCAGCTTCTGTGATTCAGTGTTCCAAACAGAACAGCTTCATAAGCAATGAAACCATTTGACAGATTTTGTCAGACAGTTGTTTATCACAGAGGTGACCTTGGACTGACAGAGAATGGACAAAGGCAGCACAGAAACAACCTCCTGAGAAAGAATAAGGAAAGAAAGAACAGTCTCTTACCACCTTAAAAGATTCCGAGGAATGTTATTTTCCTCATCTTTATTATATTTCATACTTATGTAAACTTTCCTAGATGTGATTCCAAAAATTATTTGCTTTTTTACAGAACCATCAGATGCTACTGACCCAAGTCTTCTTGGAAATCATACCCTTTTATAGTCCCTTTAGCCAGAGTACTGCTCCCACTAGCAAATGTTTCCATATGGAAATTTTTGGCCGGTGTTTTATCCTGATATGCTTTACATTTTGGTACTGATACTTAAAAATAAGTGGAATTGTGTTCATGTGCACCTATTTGGCAAAAGCATCTAACTCTTTGGAGAAAAAAAACCTTTTCTGCCTGAGCTACTAATTTGCTTCCTTTGTTTCTATTTCAATAATAATAAGACACCATTTCAAATTAATTTGCCACATCCGATGTGGAAAAGAGAATATAAGCACATACTAGCCAAGCATATCAATAAATG